GTTTGGTGTTGCTGCCATGCCCCGAATGCATGTGAAGATATGTCTCTCTCTGTGTCACAAGTTGATACTGCTGATTACCACAAGATTTTTACATGTTAGTATATTTAAAGGAATAATAATTTTTGCATTATTGTAATATATGCTGCATGTGTCTCTCAGTTTACTGGCTAATTATTTACTTAGTCAATCTCCATGCTAATGCCCATAAGCGACATCCCACCGTCCACTATGCGCGTCATCATTGTCAGCACTTGGTCGAAATCCACATCTTCTCTTCTTCAAAGAACACCAAAATGTAATCCTGCACGTTCGGAAACATACGTTGCTCCATCATTTCAAACCGTTTCCAAACCGAAGTCATTGGTTCTATGTCTAGAGCAACCGTGGATTTTGGACCACTTAATTGTAACCGACCGTGCCTAAACTAAATCGGCCAATTTGATAGGTCTGGCGCCGGTGATCTCGTTGACAGCAAAACCATTGTTTGGCACCCCATGTCATATTAGATCACCAAAATTAAACCCTAATCATCAGATAGTTGTTGTAATTTCAATCTTTTTCCTGTTGCAAACACTACTACAAAACACATTTTTCTGATGGCTATAACATATTTTTCTTGGCGATCAGTCGTTCCGCCAGTAACTAAAGGTCAATGAAAATCAAAGATTTTTGCTGGCGGTATCCGCGCCCATTAGTTAAAATCGATTTTTGTTGATGGGTGACATAACACAACCTCCAGTGAAAATCGAGTGCCACATTTTCATTTTGAAATTTTTAGGTGCGAAAAATAAAATAAAAAAAATATGACATAACACAGCCGCCAGCGAAAATCGAGTACCACATTTTCATTTTGAATTTTTTAGGTGCAAAAATAAAATAAAATAATTGATTTTATGCATTTTTTTAGATTATATTCACAATTATGTAATTTGTAGGATTCAAACACAAGATCTCTCTCCACACATATATTACATTACCATCTCACTATGAAGCACTTGTTGACTATATACAGAATGCTATTGTTTTGATTTCCATTGTTCGAAATTTAAAATACTTATTTACTCTCTAAATGATTCCAAATTAAAAAGTCATGAACTACAAAGTTGTAGATCTCGTAGAGCTCTACAACTTTTACATAGATCATATGTCCATCAGAGGTTATTTGAATCATATATGTGAAATTTTGTAAAGTAGATCTTGAATCTTATAACAAATATTTTGAACCCTAAATGATCTCAAATGAAAAAAAAAATCAACTTTTAGATCTCATTAAGATCTACAAGTTAAGTATAAATTTTATTTTCATTCGAGTTTATGAAAAAGCTAGACACAAATACTTATTTTTCTAACATTGATTTTCACTGACATACATCTTAAGCGCCCATAAGTGAAAATCGATTTTCACTTGCGGATGCTTATGTGTGTGGGATATAAGAATCCGCCAGTGAAAATCAATTTTCACTAGCGAGCACTTAAGACATCCACCAGTGAAAATAAACGTGATTTTCACTGGTGGCACTATTTTTAGTCCGCTTGAAAAAAATAAAAGGAAAGTGTCATGGAAAATCATTTTTTAAGTAGTGAAAGCACGAGTAATTTGCTAGTCTTCTCTAGAATGTAGACGAGACATTTCTATTTGAAGATATATCTGCCATTGTGCACAACACATTTTATTCAGAAGAATTATATATTGTAGTCGTGTTATAGTTTCTTAATTCTTTAACACTAACGAGGGGGACGTACGTGAGTTCCGTATGTACGTTTTCTTTAAAAAAAGTGGCGTACATACCTTGAGGCCCAGATAGGCCCTGTGGGCCTATAGCCAAGACAGTACCATAGCCATAGATAACCTAACATAGATCCCTCTATGTTACTAATAACTAGTGCTCAGGACACTAACATAGATCCCTAGTGTAGATTCTAGCCACCTCCAATTCCCCTCTCCACCCTCAAGAGTCAAGACAGTACCATAGCCATAGATAATCTAACATAGATCCCTCTATGTTACTAATAACTAGTGCTCAGGACACTAACATAACCTAACATAGATCCCTCAATTATGCATGGTTGATAGTTTTACTAATAACTAGTGCTTAGGACACTAACAGACCAACCACACAGACAAAGCTCTGTCACCAGAGAGTACAAACGTGACTACACCATTGATCTTGACATGGACGGCTAAGATGAACCTAATTAATGGCCACACTAGCTGATGTCACCATTCCTTACAACCAGACACTCGGACGGACGCGTGTGTGTGATGAATTAATTAGGACAAGCAGCAGCAGTGTCTGGCACATTTCACGAAATCCTAGCCACCTCCAATTCCCCTCTCCACCCTCAAAAGTCAAGACAGTACCATAGCCATAGATAACCTAACATAGATCCCTCTCGTTGCTTCGATCTCCCACCCCACCCTGAATTCTCCCCCATGGATTGCGATGGCAGTAGCAGCCACTGGCGAAGCGTGAGAGGGCCTCCGGCGCCGATGAGGGTGGCGCCTACAAGGGCCCTGACCGCATCAGCTCCCTTACCGACGAGCTGCTCCACCACATATCCTTGTTTTCAACCCTTGGTCGCCACCATCCACTCCTGTGTGCTCTCCCATCGCTAGATTCATGTCTGGACAAGCCTCCCCACGATTGCAGCTCGACGATGACACGACAGATACCAACGAGTGCTTTTCGGACCTCGTCAACGGCGTCCTACACGCTAGGATGCCTGCGTGGGCTTGCGCGACCTCAACATCTTGGTCCTTGGGAGCAAATTTGGCTTCGAGAGCGCATACATGACTGTAGAAATGGTTTTTTCGGACAAGAACACCTGTAGGTTGCAGGTGCTGCCATAGCTACTCTCGCTTAGAAAAATCGCTCCCCGAGGGGCGGTTCAGGGGCTGCACGGGTAACATCGAGAGCAAGTTCGCCCCACACATCCCTGCACTAGCCGCACACTATTTTTTTCCAACACCTTTTTTCTCCTCCTTTTCACCGTATCACTCCTTTTCTTTTCTCCTCCTCCTCTCCGTTGGTTTAGTTCATCACTGACCACTTGTATATATATACAAACGAGAACCGTTAAAAAAAGATATACATGTTTAAGACAACCTTTTTAGATGAAGAAATATATAATTGTTAGAGCATAAACTGACTTAGCTGACGTACTAGAATCATATTATTTGTCTTTTATCTTTTTTAGAAATTTTGCTATATATATTAATCAAGCTGATGTTCTATCTACATGATAGTAACTATGAAATCATATTATTTAGATCACAGTCTATCTTCTACTGATTTTTTATTTTATCAGTGTTTGTCATATTTATTTTTTTTGTCAGTTGAGATTTGTTAGCCTAATTATAATTTTGTTAGTAAATTTTAAGGTGTAATAAGTAGTTGGCTAGTATTTCTGTTGTGTTCCCCTAAAATTAATGAGGAGTTTTGTGTGGTAGATATGTTTTTCCTTTGTTCCTTTTGTTTTCTCTCATATTTATGTTTATTTTTCTCAGTTTTTTAAATTTTGCAAAAAAAAGTATTTTTATTCCATTTGTAATTTTGTTAGAATATTTTTAGGTATAGTGAGTAATTATGAGTAGTAGTTTTAGATGCATACATTCAGTACTGCAAGGCCTTCAAGAATATGTTTGTCATATTTGTGTTTTTTTTTTGTCAGTTGAGGTTTCTTAGCCAAATTATAATTGAGCTGCCTCATCAATGACGACGGAAATCTAGGCATTTTCTATGACTTCTCTACCTAGATTTCCACATAAGCAACTAACCATTTTTGTTGAATCGCGATGAATCTTTTACTGGGGTTTTTCCGTATCCTTGATTGACCTCAACGATCATCCGAACACTCGTGCACAATGTCTGCTACAGATCTCGAACAAGCCGATAATACAAAGCAGATGGTTGAGCTTAGGGTTCAAGAGGCTTAGTAGTTTACATGTTGTGTTAAGTATATTTCATTGTGACACACAAGAGCCCAGATGAGCATCCTTTCTTCCCTAAATATTTGCTAGACCGGTGCTACTGTCTGTTCAATATAAAAATGTAAAACTGAACATAGCACTACAATTTCTGTTTCACTTGAACATAGTGAATATAGTCATTTGTGTTGATGTGTGTTGTGCTGGCTTATTTCATGTATATTGTGATGGACTCTTTTTAAGACAACAAAACAGGTTTTTTTTTTAAGAAGCACAGACCTGACGAGCTAGGCGAGATGGGGCGTTAACTTGCTGATGTGTGTTCTTTTTCATTGATTCCTGAGCTTTTTCTTCACTGACAGCACGGTTCACACGCGTCACTGCGGCAGTACCGACGCCTCCCGGAGAGGAACACGTGTAGCGACGCTGCCGCCGGCCGGAGGATCGAAAGCTCTAGAGACGACCAGATCGGGGTCGTCTACATGAGATCACCAAACCTCACTCCTCACCACAGCCTCGCGAGCTAGCTAGTGTCCTCCTGCATCGCCCCGTCCACCACCGATCCCAATCTCCATCGCCGCCTCCACTCCAGTGTACCGCTCGACCGGGCGAGGTCCATGGAGCAGCGTCACGCCAGCCACGGCGGCGGCGAGCCCGCGAGCGCCCAGCAGAAGCAGAGGCAGCGATCTTGCGACGACAGCCAACTGCCTGCTTCTTCCCTCAACCCGACGGCGGCGAGGCTGCTCCGGGAGGCCATCGTGTCCGCGCCGGCGGGCGGCGGCGAGAAGACGGCCGCCGAGGGCTCGTCGGACATCCTGGCCTTCGCTCGCGCCGTCGACCGGGTGGACTCCCCACTCGAGTGACCCCTTACTCTGCTTCTTTCTTCTTATTTTTTTTCCTCTCTCTTCTCTTCAGCGTGTTTGTACCTGTACCGTGAAGAATCCGAAATAAAAATGCTCTCGACGACTCGTTTAATTCCGATTTCCTTAATTTTCCTGGAAATTCCCCTGAATTCGGTGAGTTTCGCTGAATAATCTCGCAGAACGCTTTCTTGAACCGGATCGATCGAATCGAAACGAGCCCAAATTCTCAGTATGCTGTATTATATCGAGCAATTTCAAGTTATTACGTCTATCACATCACCGATTAATACAGGTACGGTAAACAATCTGAGGAGGAGCAATTTGTACAACATGATTACTACTACTAGACATAGATAGGAGTACGAGCTTAGGCGACGGAGACGAGGCGGCGGGAGCAGAGGGAGCAGAAGAAGCGGCGGCGGAGGCGGAAGCAGAGCGGGAGGAAGCAGAGGCGTGGGGCGCTCTCGACGTCGGTGGCGACCACCCCGCCGCCGCAGTAGGGGCAGCGGCCGGGCGCCTGGTACGTCGCCACCACGCGCTCCGGCTCGTCGCACACCAGCACCACGCACATCCTCCTCTTGCTTGCTTACCTTCCTCGATCAGTTTCCTCTTTAGCCCAGAGCAGCACGGCGCTTGCTTGCTTCAATACCAGTTGCTTTGCTTTGGTCAAGGCGGACAGATTCCTGTCTCGGTCTCTGCTTTATTCTCCAAGCAAGGGAAGGCATTGGATCAGTTTTCACGATTAGCCCCTTGGAAAACATATTTTTCCAGGAGCGCCCTTACTGCTATCTATCTATCCTTCTAGCAGGGTAGCTGTTAGCTGACTGGGTGGTCACTTGGTATGGCTAAAAGTGAAGATAAATTTGAAATACATATGGTAAAAATAATTTCAGATTATAAGATATTTTAAAAGTTTGTGGAAGTTTATAGAAAAAAATAGTGATATTTCCAACCCAAGATAAATTTATTATAAAAATATATTTAATTATTAATTTAATTAATAAAACTAATTTGGGAATGTAAATATTACTATATTTATCTATAAACTTAGTTAAAATTGAAGCAGTTTAATTTTAACCAATGTCAAAATATCATATAACCTGAAACGGAGGGAGTAGATTTTAAACACTTTCATAGAGAAGAAAATAAGTAAAATAAATAAATAAATAAAAAGGCAAGATAAAGAAGAGGAAACAAAATATGAGTTTTAGCTTTTTCATAATAAAAAAGTGACTTCATCATGATAATATCCTATGTTTAAAGAGAAAAGTGTCTTTATAAATACACTACTATAGATGCAATAAAAAAACTAAGCAACAAATTTAACTAAACAAAAACAATAAAGAGGGAAACTAGATGTACAAAGTAGCAACAAGAAATTCGCTGAAAATATTTGCATAAATTTCGTACATCAAGAAATTGCTAGGTTCGCGAAAAATATTTGCATAAATTAAAGCATTTGTCCAGAGTTTTTCGTAAAATAATCAACAAAATCGATAATCTAAGATACATTTTAGGACACATAGTTCGTGCTATTCTATTACTCACATGTGAAACTATCTATTCTAAATATCGCCTAACTTTTCCCTAACATCATTTTGAGCGATTTCTCAAAGTTAACAAGTCTATATAACATAATAAACCCACCAATAATGATATACTATTAATTGTTTGAGCTATTACGTGTAAGCCATAGAAAAATAAACTACGCAAGCGAAAATAGTTTATGACAATATATCAATGTTAACAGAGGTTAAAAAGAAAATGATGAAAATAAAACTAAATTCACTAAAAAATTCAATTTTTTTATGCAACCGATAAGTTAACCAGCAGTTGATGAAAGACTAAATAACATATATGGATTATAAACTGGTCGGCGTCATTTCTTCTATAAGTTAGATATTATTATTTTCTTTTTCAGAAACATAGTAAAAACGTAGGTGCTCATATCATTAGAAAATTTAACTATTTATCACTTTTGCTTTTGGCAGTTAGCCAAATATTTTTCTTATATTTGCACTTAAGAATTTGCCAATTTGCCACTAGATAGAGAAGCTTTTGTAATTTTATTTTGCCACTTTTTACACTCTAGAGCGCCACATGTGCATGACAACGTGAACAGGGCACGAAATGACCAATCCACCCCCTAGGCTGGATCGAGAACTATATTTGGACAAAATCGATAAACCTGTTATGTATGAACTATTTATGTGCGACATGTGGCCAAACTTTCTTGGCTGCAATTTGTATGAACCTCCAATTCATGACCAGTTTCTCTTGGCTCACATTTCGAATATTGTCACTGCAGTTAAGCTTTTTCATAGAGAAGTTGAGCCATTAGGCATTACAGCCTTATAGTAGGTACATAACATTGTCTTCAGAAAACTGTTGTTGTGAGGAGAAACTGCTTCCATTGCTTTCGCAAAATCAATTGCAGAGGTGTGAATGCTGTTCACTGTTATGAGGCGGCCGTTGATGGTTCGAGTGGCAACCTGCTCACTTGATGGTCCTTCATTGTGACTAACATTAATATTAAGAAGAGATCCACTGAGATCGTTGTGACTACGATTCAGAAAGTTTCAAGATCTAGAGTATTTTGTTCGTTGTTCGTATGGTTAATGTCTTTTTTCATGTAACAACAGTCTTATGTGATTTTTTTTAAGAGAATTCATTCTATGCCCATAAGTTTACTCTAGTTCATGATTTGCCATAGATTTTATCTGTCTTTATAATATGCCACTGACTTTGTCAATTATTCCTACAACATACCACCCGGGGTGAATACTTCTAAAAATGTCTAAAATGCCCTTCAAGCCATACAAAGGATTGCCAATTGATTGACTCATTATAAGTTTCAAAAGTATATGATAGTTTTTGTGTAGCCTTCTTACACAATATAAAAGTTTGTGTGTATATCTTAAGATTTTCTTCAATGTATATTTTTGAAATAGTATTTTTGTGTGGCATAATAAGAAAGAGGAATCACATACACAAAACATAGCCGGATTAGAAAATAAATTTTCTGTAGCATATATTCTATTAGCATATAGAACATAAATTATATTTTTGAAAAAATTAATACATGAAAGTTGAAAATCTTAAAATGTACACACACTCCATATTATGTAAGGATGCTATGTGATTTTTTTTTATATTTTTTTGATATTTCTAGTAGCTCAATCATTTGTTAACCCTCTATGTGTTGAAGGGCATTTTTGACATTTTTGAAAAGTATAAACTCCAATGACATATTGTAGAAAAAAAATGAAAAGTTTAGTGGCAAATTACAGAGAGAGACAAAATCGATGATAAATCGTTGAACTAACATAAACTTAGGGGCATAGAATATATTATCTCTTTCTTTTCCAAATCCTAAAGATAGCTCGAAAGTTCTTTAATATAATATTTATTTCAAATAAAGAGTAAAGCACACCGCCGGTCCTTAAAATTGGAGCATGGTGTCACTTAGGTCTATGATCTTGTAAAATCGACATTAAGGTCTATGAACTTGTTTGAGTGAATCATTGCAGTCCAAAACACGTTTGACTGGGTTGACTGTCATACGTGGTTGTCCAGCGTGGCCGCATATTTTCAATTAGGCCCTTTCACTTTCACACCACCGGTTTGGTCGGTAGAACAGTTGGGGCGCAGAAAACATGGGGGCAGCGGTGGGGACAAGGGGCATGTGAATACTATCCATCCTAGGTCGGATGCGGCGCTGATGACTGGCAGGAAGGCTAGATCCAATGCCAGCGCCCAAGCGGAGCTCGACATCCATCACTCTAGCGGCGACGACTCGAGAGAAGGCTGGATCCAATGCCCGCGACTAGGCGGAGCTTGGCATCCATCACTCTGGCGGCGAAGCGTCACGACACAGATTCGGTGACGTGGATCCAACGCCGATGACCATCGGGAAGGGCGACCGGTGGATCTGGCCGTCGGCGAGGCACGGTTCTCCCCGATGGTGCTCCTCTCTCCGGCGATGGTGGAGGGATGGCTCCAGCGAGGGCGTGTAGCCTCAAGATCCGTGAGGGTCTCTCCTGTTCCCGGTGACGGCAGATTGGGTAGCGGCAAGCTTGGAGGCTTGGCCATGGGCGGTGAGTTCGCGCCGCAGATTCCGCTTGCCCGTCCACCAAGTCGTCGGGCGTCGTCGAGCTGAAGAGATGGGTGCCACCTCTATTACACTCCTCTACCTCGCCTAACTCTTCCGTCATCGCTGCCGCCGTCTTCCAGGTCGCCTCCTCCACCGGGCTACTGCTGCCCCCCTCACCGAGCCAGGCCATGACCGTAGTTGCCTTCTTCTCTGTCGAGCTCCCAACGGCCACCTTGTCGAGCTCGATCCCGATGGTGGCAGCAAGAGCTCAAGGGCACGCAGGCAGGGGCCACCTCGGTGACGACGACCGAGGCGAGCTCGCCGGCCAACTCACCTGCAGGGCAGTTGACAAGGGTGCATTGTGGAGAGGAGGGGTGCGGCGGCCATGGGGACCTTGTCGGTGGTCATCAGTGGCAGCAAGAAGAACCGGGAAAAAAGAGAGGAGAAGAAAAAGAAAATGATTTGGGGGGGGAGAAGAGGGTGGATTGGGCTCGGATGGGTCTAATAGCAAATATGCAGCCACGCTGGATAGCCACGTAGGACGGTCAAACGTGTTTTGGACCACAACGATTCACTTAAACAAGTTGATGGACCTTAATGTTGATTTTACAAGATCATAGACCTAAGTGATACCACGCTTCAACTTTAAGGACCGGCATCGTATTTTACTCAAATGAGACGAATGTTAACTGTCAATTTACATTGAGAATGCACCGTGTGTTTGCAATATGGAAATTGCTATGCATCCGACCATGTGTATAACTTGCATCTGACTAGCATGTAAAGGGCTAAAAGCATACTCCCTCCGTCAAAAAAAAAAACTCAACTTCTACCAACTTCTACCATCCTACCTACCCTCAGCACGTAAAACGAGAAGCTTTATCCCTTCAATATTATTTACCTACCTATCACTCTTACTACTTTTTCAATGATTAAGGGTATTTTAGTCATTCTTACTCTCTATTATTTTCACCTTGGGATGGTAGGAATGAAATTTTTTTTTTTGGACGGAGGGAGTAGGTGCTGCTTGTCTGAGCCTGCATGGTGAGAAACAAGCTTAGTAAATGATGGATGTGACACAGTCAGATGAGAGTAGTAGGTTGTACATATAGCAGGATTTACAATATTTATGACCATCAAGACTTAAACCCCAATAAACCGACGAATTCATTGCTATCGAGCCGGTGTTTCTTTGGTGTTACCTTTATTTGGCGCCTTGCTATGTTAGGACTTGGGGATTTAGCTTTGTGTTGCGATTTCTTTTCATTATTTAAACATTTTCATTAAATAATTTTAAAAACATACCCTCTCAGAATTTATTTCACAAACATGACATGTCGCCATGTCCTATGGCATAGGCCTATAATAACCACATACAATTCGCTACTCTTCGACCGATTCGTTTTCTCTCACAATACCCCCACTCAGAAAGTGATAACTGTCCTAGTGTGTTCTATGAAGTAGCAAAACGTTAACTATTCTATATAGGGAGGCCCTGCTATGTGGATGCATTTCCTGGAAAGTACTGCGGGAAGTCCATTTGCAAAAGAAGATCTAAATTAAAGGAAGGTCAAATTGTAAAAAGTAGGCAAAGAAATGAATCTGATTCCTACAGGACACTAT